CCTCCCCTCCCCTCCGGTACAGTTTCCTCATTACGGTACTGCTTGAGGTTACTTGACAGCCGCCTAGAAGAGTACATCGGGTTGCTTGCAAGTGCTTCTTTTGAAGCTGTTCTGCGGTGCACAGAAGCTCAAGTTTCGCGTAGAACCCGTTGCGGTTTCACGTGGTTTTGCCGTTGTGGGTCCTTGACGTCCTGTACAACGATATAGCCTGTACGCAAGAAAGGCAACCCCCACCCAATAATTATGAAAATCTGCAAGTTCGGGCCTTAGCAATTAGAAAGGCATGCACGATTCCTGAAGGGACAAGAAGAGATTCGGCTTTCCTTGGGATTCCCGTGGTCGTACACCTTCCTAGGAATATACAATATGTAATATGTATTGTATAATATCTTACATATCATATATCATATATTATATATTACATATTGTATATATATATATATAGATAAATTATGCTCGTCTGACTGAGTTTGCTTGTTTGCCTTTTGGCTTGTGGCCTTTTCTCGGCTTCTCACAGCAGACTTTTCCTGTCGATTCCCTGAATCACTGTAAATCTGTGTCCTCAAAATGCGGGTCCACGCATTATACTTGGAGTTTTTTAGGGGAACAGTGGATTCGACAAAAATCGAACACACGCACCTCAAGGAAGCTATCTTACTGGGTCTTCCCACAAAGTGGAAGAGCTGGCCAGTTGGCCCGCAGTCAGCCACAATCCACCCTCCATAGATTTGGTAAGACATAAGGAGGGCTCTTACCCTAATTTCTCATCACAAAAGCAAGTCATCGAGTTGTAAATCCGGGACTTGGGGGGAGTATCTATATGTGCATATACATATAGGTATGCCTGAACCCAGAAAACTTGAACCTTCAACCCTGACACCTATGCCCGGAACCTTAGACCCTGAACCCAGGGGCCCTAAACCCTACACCCGAAACCCTGCAGCTTTGAGGCTCTATCCTGGGCGGCAAATCCGCCTCTTCGCACAGCCAGGAGCCGAGCTGCCTTGCTCCTAAGCCGAGGGAGTTCAGGGTGTAGGTTTAGTGTTCAAAGTAAAGGGGTTACAGGGCTTATCCAAGCAACCAGGTTCAGGGTAAGGGTACAGTATTTGTAGGGCTTATCCAGTGAACCAGTGGGCCGAAGAAGTTTCATTGGGCACCTGTATGCAGTATCAAAGTACGGCTACGCAAGGAGGTGAGAATACAGAGGCCATTGGTCCTCCTCTTTTGAGAAAGGGGTGGAGTGGGGAGGCAACTCCCCACCACAGCCCTATGGAAAGAAAGGAAGCCAGTGCTTTTCACATAACACTGACACACTGCAGCTATGACCGGGGAGGGGGGGGTTGGGGGTTGTTGGAGATCTTGGGCCACCCAAACACCAACCTCATGTAGCGGGATCCTCATGCTAGCACCCCAAGTCTGGCCCCCCAAAAGCAGAAAACTCGCATTGCACCTGTAAGTTTTACGACATCCGTCAGAGGGCTGAGATCACAAATTCTTCTCACCGGGCTGTCACATGCCCAAGGACCGAGAACTGCCTGTTCCTGCCAGTGGCAAACTTCGTTGCGGCTCACTGGCATTTTGGAAGAGGTGTGTGTGATTAAACGCTAGAATCTTACAGGAAATCCTACTTTGTCTATGATGTCACACAAGACTGATTGGACTGAAAGTTCGCTGTTAAATCCAGACCTTGCGTCAGCCTGCCCCACCCACGAGAAGGGTTGAGGAGACCGACTACTTAAAATAATTCCCGGATCACGCAATGAGAAGGCATGGAGCCGCAGAAAGCTGGTCAAATTCATCAGGTTTTGCGAGACTGTCAACCGCAGATAAAAGACTCACCAGGCGTGGTTCGTGGTACAAGTTTTAAAGGACCCAAGCCATGCGATTCAAACATTCACGCTTCGCTGCATGAACCCTGGAGCCCCATACATTCAAAATGGGATTTCTTCCGGCTGCATGCCATTCAGATTTTTCAGGGCATGTCTAGCATTGGTAGATGTTGTTCCGATTGTTTGGTGCGCGTATCACAAAAACCATCGCCATAATTAGTTGATTAGTATACTGAGGCCCTACTATGTCTTCATTACTCAAGGACGGTTAGTCGACTGGAGCTAAACTCAGATGGGATCCTATGGTGCTTTTCAGCGGTATGCAGCTCAGGCGCCCATGCTGGGAGGACTTTGGACGGCCCACACCATGCTTTGCGCCAGGGTCCTACGCGAGCCGGTTCCCAAAATGGTGGAGTTCTTCTCCACGAGTAACTGCAGAGGTTTGCGGCAGATTAGATGCATCAAATTCTTAGTCTTAGTTGTCTTAATCAGGGTGATTCATTCCTAGGCTAGCCTAGTCAAAGAGGCAGGGAATGGACGTCAAATGAGATGAGTCATAGAAAACTGTCCTAGTAGTCCTGTCCTGCCAAGCCTGGATAGACCACAGCAAACAAGCGACCCCAAATCAGTGGCTGTTGCCCAGACAACTAAAACAGGGAGAAGAAGATCAAGTAATCAAGGATATAATAAACCAGCAGATGGAAGTTGGTCCGTAAATGAAAGTCGCCGATCATACGTCCGGCAGGGCCCGCAGACAACCCGCGTCCTTGTTACTGTACCTGTTTTCCTGCCGTTGTCTTTTACACTGCTTGGCTTGGAGTTAGGAACTTTTGCGTTGCGGCGCCCGGCGCCCACAAGCTTAAGAGCTACAGCCACAGCAAGGAGTTACAGTTCAGAAATGGCTCTAGCGTTGTTCTCATGTCCAGACGCAAGCTGTGCAGATGCTGGATTCGCCACTGTCCATGTATATCAGTAAATATGGCACTGATCCTGACGTTTCTGAGCTAGCAAGCCCAGAAATGCGCCAGCTGCCCCACGTGCCCAAAGCCAGGCTTCGTCTCTTTGCTTCCTTTGGAGCCTGTGGGAGACAAGGAGCAAGGGTTGTTCGATTACCCTTATAGATAGGGATTATATAGGGTTTGGGGTCATACAAGTTTTCTGTCGATCAAAGCGCGCGGAAGCACCAGCATAGCCTTCTCATTCAGGGTTTGTCTTTCAGGAACGAGGAGCGGACCTGATGCCGAGTAGAAGCCACCAGATGCCAGACAGACAACAAAGGTGCGCACATACAGAGTTTCTTCAGAGCCGGGCCTCCCAAGACTTCTCAGCAAACCCAGACTTGGCGGTGGGTCATGACCGGACCTGGAGCTTCTTCATAGATATATCTATGGGAGAGTGCCCAAAATCTCTAGTCTAATTACTTAGGCTTAATAGTATTTTCCCTAAGGTTCCTAATATATTTATGGTACATGATGCCCAAAATCCCTAGTCTAATTCTTTAGGCCCCTATATTACGTCGATGAAGACAAAGCCATGTTCTGGTGGGTAGCTGTCAGCGTCGACTCAATATGTGCTTCTACACCGCCCCTGTAAGGATCAAATTGTTTTTTGAGGTGCCATGGAAACTCTTCGGCTTAAGCCCACCTGTAGATTGTTGAGAGAGACGCAGTTGTAATTATTTGGATCATGCCTTTTCTGTTTCAGCAGAAACATGAGGTGCTTCGGCCCCTCTACGCTTGCGGGTGTGTTGTCAAAAATGCACCCAGGGCCACGCGTAGTTTCAGAAAGCGCCAAGCTGTTTCAGCCATGTTGGAAACCTGGCAGCTGAAGCACCGAGCTTTCCCGCGCTTTGGGCCAAAGGGGCAAATCCCAGCATGTCAGTTCTGTTTCCCAAGGGCCCGAGTCTTGAAAAGATGAGTACCTACGCAGAATCCTAAGTCCTAAACTCTAAATCCCAAACCCCAATCCCTAAGCTCACCCCAATCTCTAAGCTCTAAGCCCAAGGCCCAAAAACTTCATTCCAGGCCTTTAATCAGATAGGTTTCCTAGATAAGCCCCGACTAGTGTTTTCCTACATCCTTTTTTCACCCTTTGAGTCAAGACCCTGGACCAGGACGCGCCACCTTCGAGGAGCGAGCGCTGCTGCTGCGCTCACTGCTTCTAGGCGGGGGTCTTGGGCTTACTGTACCGGTTCATGTGGGGGCAGCGCTGGGGGATAAGGGATAAGGGTATAGGCGGTATAGGCTTTGAGTTCCGAAAGTGTCATGGAGCATGTGGCTTGTGTGAGGGGAGCAGCGGTGGCGAGTTGGTGGGAGGGTTGGTGACGCCCCCTTGGGCAGCTTGCAATGGATCTGGAAGACGAGGGCTTAGGCTTAGGGAGGGCCATAGGCCTTGCCCTGCACAGGCTACTCCTTGGATGCCTGGTGCTGCTTGGGCACTGATGACAAAGGACTTGCCCACGCCGGCCGCCCAGCACTGCGAATTTTGGAAGACTGGATGGCAGCAATTCTAACAGGGCTGTAAGTGGCTGGTTTATGTGTCAGATATGAATTACTTTGGACTTTTACGATCCTCTTGGAACTCGCTTCTCTCGGTCGGCACAAGGATGTCTGCCGGGCTCCAGACTCTAGAGCCGGCGGTTTCTGGTACGGAGGGAAGCTCGTCGCTCGAGACCTGAATAGCGGTGGGACGCTGCGCTGGTTCGAGAGATGCCAGAAATGCATTGGCTTGGAGAGCAGTGCGGTTTGCGCCTGGCCCGGCAGCGCCGCCCTGATGCCAACTTGTATAAACACGCGCTT